CCCCAAAACCCCAAAACCCCAAAACCCCTTGTCTTAATCTAATGATTGACAATTATTATAAAGTCATTAAAGTCGTCGGCAAAGGAGGTAGCTCAAAGGTGATACTTGCCACTGACCCAGAGGGTAACAAAGTTGCAATAAAGGTTATTAGAAAGGATAAAAAATACACCACAACCTCAGCCAAGATTCTACTCGATAAGGAGGTGTTGGTTCTTACTGTATTTGATGGCCATCCTAATGTTATTAAGTGATTAGGGACTCAACCTCATGGGATCATTTCAATTAACAATAAGGCAGAATCAATCATGTACAATGTGCTTGAATATGCTGAGAACCAAACTCTTTCTAGCTATGTCAAGAAGACTGGCCCTGTTGAAGAATTAATTGCTAAGTTTTATGCTACCCAGATCTGTAGCGCAGTAGCCCATATCCATAGTTCAGGGTTAGCTCACCTCGATATTAAACTTGAGAATATTTTACTGGATGAATTCTTCAATGTCAAACTAGCTGATTTCGGCTCATGACAGGAAGCCCCATACCCAAGATCAAAAATAAATTGCGGGAGAGGAACGAAGTACTATATGGCCCCTGAAATAGAGAGCTTAGAGAAGGATGATTCCTTCATTGCTAGAGCAGCTGATATCTACTCTCTCGGAGTTACACTTTACTTGATAGTGACTGGAGTACCCTCTTCTTTAACTAATAATACTGAGGAGAATCTAGTCTTTCCTTGCGATTTCACTACATCATTAAATGGGAACGAGCAAAACACAGAAAATGAGCCAGAAGAATGCATATTATCTCCTGAATTTGTAGACCTTATTTTGGCAATGCTCGACCTAGATCCATTAAAGAGACCTTCTATATTCAAAGTGATGAATCATCCTTGGATTGATTGAAAATTGCGCCCTGAAATAGCTGAACTAGTATATTTAGAAATGTCAAGTAGGAAGGCTTATATCAAAGAAAAATAAATTGTTCTAAATCTTATTATTTAAATTATTAAAATAATTAAAATAAACTATCTATTCTTTACTTTGGCCAATTGTTACCTTTATCAGCTTTAACTAAGGTAAATTTATCTAGGGTTTCTAAACTTTCACAATCTTCAGCTGCTTCTAACTTTCGATCCAAAATCCTCATAAGCGTTCAATCTCAGACTGAAAATCTGGGGTTTTGGGGTTTTGGGGTTTTGGGGTTTTGGGG